ACAAGTGCCGCAGACTAATCTCCCGCTGGCCTACTATGACCGAAATATACAACAATCAGCAATTTTTTCCCACCACACAGGCATAACGTACATTTCCATAACGCACTTTCATGTGGCATTAGCGGTCTACTTGTTATTGAGTTGATACACGTGTGACTATGTTCAACCTGACGGATAATTATATATATATATATATATAATTAAATTGGTTTCTCTGCTAAATCGAGTTACGATGAGTAGAAGAAAAGTGAGAAGAGAGAACCCACTCATGTGATGATCAATAAACCTTGTCAAAATCGTTACCATAGAGCTGTTAAGCAAGCTGTCATACCATAAGCTGTCAAGCTTTACACGAAGCGAAAACACAGTCGACTCTGTTATCGCGTAAGCAGTTTCTTAAATAAACTCCGAAGTCTTCCCATTTTGGGCATACGTTCGAAGCGAAACTATATATATACATATATATGTATATAAATATGGTGTGCGCATGTTTCAATGGATATTTATTCCTAGCTTCATGCTTAGTACGAAGCAGGTCTAATTGTTATACTTACAATGTATACATAAAAATAGATAATGTTTCAGCAACAGCGGTTCTACGGCGCAATACTTAAATAACTGCCATAGCTCCCTATCGACTCCCTGAAACTATCTTAGATCTTCGAATAGATCGCGAAAGAACGACGTTTGAGATTTCATTTTCTATTATATAGTATTCGATATAGCTAAATGAAGATCTGGCGAAGCCCACCAACAGATATGGGTCACAGTTATTCATCAGGACATATGCATCACACGATTGGACGAAAAGCATAGCTGGTTCTAATAGCTATGGCCACCCACAACCCGTGCATCTTATGAAGAGTATGTCGACGCCTGACGACAGCCCATAATTAGCGAAAACCCGTTTTTTCATCAACTAATCGTGTAAGCCTATCAGGACCATACGACCCGATATCAATTACATGTAATTAGCTACGGGTGGTTGCTTCATCTTTACTGGCAGTCCACCATAGTTTTTTTCGTTTCGAATGGACTAGGAGTCTGCCACAGCAACGGGAAGGTGCTCACAATTAGTTCAATGACTGCAGCATCCGATCTAACTCACGTCGATCATACAAACAGGAAATCTGCGGGATACAAGCTGTGATAATAGAATCTTGAAGAAGATAATAGGACAAATGATAGGATTGAGAGACAGTAGAATGAAAGCTCTTCACCGGTACATCTATACTACTGTGAAGATATAGGGGGACGTTGGATACACGCTGTACCAATAAGAATCATCGTGATATACAATGACAAGACTGACAATATCCGCCAGTTACATCATTGTTATCGAAGTTTAGTAGGATACCGGCCAGAATGGCTTATTGAACATCGTATACCGTTCATTATATTCCCCTTGAGGACCTTAGTACAAGCAAATACAGATCAGTGTTACAGTTAGGATTGCAATAGTGATCCGTTTAAACTGCATCATTATTTAAATAAACAAACAACAGTTGTTGATTTGTATTTTATTTGTAATATCATTTTTTGAGCCCTGCCAACATTACTAATGTTACTGAAGCCGCTCGATGTAAATAAGCATGTCCTGTTAACCAAGGTTCGCTTCACAGACCGTTGCTCTACCGGCGTTCGTCCTTTGCCTTCACTTCATGTGAAGTAATAAGACCAGTAATTGTCTTCCATAATTAAGCCAATCAAGAGATCCGTTCGGTCTTTCGAATACATTCGTAATATTAGCGACATAAATGATTTGCTCCATGAAGATAGAAATACATTAGCTTCAACGAATGCGAAATCGGATTCGATGCAAGTACCAAAGTTACTGCGCAGTAAAAGCGCGGACGCTCAGCGGCAGAACTCTTTAAGGAGTTCAGGGCGACCAAGTAGCTAAGCGTTTCCGAAATGCATGTTCTGCCGTTTTGCTTTAGAGCAAACTGACCCCCATCTGTTAGCTGGGTTTTCTTTAGCCATATTGCCATGGTGCATTACTGTCGGACCGTGCTCTATTTCCGCGATGCAACTTCGAAACTGACTCATTTGAGGTTCAAAACCAAAACGACACACAGCATTGACTTGTCCCAACGTTTTCCCAAGTGCGATAAACACGAGCAGCTACCTTTTTTTCTTTCTTAAAAAACGACAATACATCGATTATTTCAAATTTCACGGCGAATAGATAGATCTTGCTGCAAAGACCAGCTCTGTTTATTGAAGCCTGCAAACGCTATGATCACTGTGTGGCTGAACTGCAATAGGATTTCATACTGGTCAGAAACGTTTTTCCCTAAACAATTCGTTTGTAAATTATTCTTCTGTTGTCCAGATACCGCAGCTTAAGTAATACATAAATCCCACCAGAATTGGGGGTTGATTTCTTTTTTAATGATGCAGCACATCGAATGGGACTGACCCACCAACTGCGCAGCTTTGATAAATTGTAGTCAAGTCTAAGTTGCTATCGCGATTGTTTACCGACGATGTTTCCGGATTTTCCCTCCACGAGACTGCATGGTGTGTCGACACCGTGTTTTGGCTCCTCCAGGCATTTGTCCTACTTAGGCCGACAAGTCTTATCAATCAAAAAATGACTAATTACATCACGTTCAATGTTAAGCCTGAATGATCGCTCTGACCCAGCCGCATAGCTCACGCGGACTTGGGCGATGCGAGCGTATATAAAAAGGTGCTTTCCAAATTGAACTCATCAAGCGGCGATGGTCCTTTAAACAGCTGTAGGAGCACATTAAACTAAAAAACCCTGCTCAAAAAAAAAATCTCCTCTTACTTATGGAAAGTATCTACTCTGGAGCACTTGACGGAAACAAAGTCTGTCAACGAGGATGATGATATTACTGTTAGCATCGCCGACAGCTGAGTCTACGCGACAGTTGCGCCAACGAAACGTAAGTTATACTGTTTGAACGAGTCGGTACGTTAAATCAATAGATGACCGTTACCATTATCTAGTTCATCCTTCCGCCAGTGCTGTGGCTGCGTCCATGATCACGTTGACCCCTGCCATTGTATCAGCGCACGGCCTAATCCTTGAAGTTCCGATGGAGCTCAAAAACTACAGTAAATGCATGGTTCGTTTCGTACTGTTACAACCGAGTTCCATAGCGCATGTTCACGTCGTAATTACGTTGAGCAGCTGGGTGAGGTGCTATGTAGGGCAAAGCATGTAGGTGCTTGGCTCACAAAAATAAGCCGTCTAAATCCATCCACACTTCGCATCCGTATTGACTCTGTCCGTCTAGCGCACTTTTGCTTGTCGCAGTGATCGTAGAAGTGGGCACACTGTCAGATAGTAGAGGAGACATTATGCCTTGTCCTCACGAAATCTTCGCTTTTTTTTTTCACGTACTCTTGTTGATCTGGCAGTTGCGGGAGTAAGATACGACGCTAGAGATTAACATTGTCCGCAAACTGTGACACAACGAAAAGAAGTGTGACAGGCCTATTCCTAAATGTATGCCAATTATGTGTTTAGCGACATATTGTAGCAATCTAAACAAAGACAAAGAGGATAATGCTACGTAGAAACATCAGCAGTACCTGCACGACAATCGTTGTAGCAGGTTGCTGCGTTGTCATGTCAGGCCTATGTCCTGCACCAGCATATCACAGTCCTGTGTTTGTTAGCCTGCTGCGTCTGGCTTTTGTCTCGCGAAGAAAGGTAATAGTTCTTTTATACAGCCATGAACTGGATGCACGATGACGATGGCAGCTGTCGCCCTTGAAAATGATTGTGTTGTTACTTTACATCTTCCGATTGTTTACATCTCCCGCTGTCTGCTTCGTATTTATATTCGTTCTCGTTTATAACAACAAATGAATAACGCGGATATCGAGGAAAACTTCTATAGACATCCTCTTAAGTTAACTCTCACAGCGCTACATAGCAGTTTCGGTCATCAGATATCGTCAAGATATCAATTAAACAAAGTAACAATGTTATTTATGTGGTTGATAAGGGGGCGGATAGCTAAGTGACATAGGTCCAATGAACCAGACACGTACTACGTCACTTTATTTTGAATTTATGCCTTGAGTTGAACAGGCTGTGACGAAGCTGGAATGTTTTGACCACAAAATGTTTAATTTACTCACCTAACCATGAGCCAAGGACAGTACTCGTAAAATGGTTGTTATTCAAGCCGAAGTGCATCAAACTCTGTGATAAATATGTCAGTCTAACAACATCGTCACAATATGTAAGATGCGCGAGAGAAGTACTCTGTCGAAACGTGTTTGCCCCGTATCTCTGTATATATATGGTTAGTAAAAGGTTTTCCCTGTCTATACATTTGCATATTACACAACCCATTGAGCGGCTGTAAACAATCAAATAGTCGTAATATTCCACAGTGTAAATGATATTCCATCTCCAGCTTGGTTAAACCAATTCGTCTGACGTGTACAGCCCTGCTGATAAACGATAGTAGTAAGTAGTGAGCCTTCTTTTACAGGCCCGAATAAATATACCAGCCGTTCCAAAACATTTACAGTTTTGCTCTTAAGCATTGCAAGTTTCTCACGATTACTTAACAAGGAAGATACGATTGATCAATGTACAATTTTTGGTTTTCTTTTCCCAGTGGAATGTTCTTTTCCCAAGCAACAGGTCGATTAATACGTAAGTTTTCTGCGACGTTCCAACAAACGATACTTTCCATTTTCGTATTTCGTCATCTATTTTGCCAATACAATCAAGGTCAGTCTTGCAAGAAAGCATACATAGTAGGTAAGAAACTGAATTATCCATGCAGAGAAGCCACATTTGCCCGTCATGGAAGATAAGCTGATACCACGCAACGCAACTTAGTAAAACCGAAATGCGTGGCATTTTTATCAGAAGCCCATCAGCAAAGCCGACAAGATGCCTGCACGAGGCCATGCACATCCTAAAAACAACCAGCCTAAAAGTGCTCAGCATAAAGCACCTAAAAAAGAGTCACATTTTAAGTAGACGGCCACATAAAACTTACAGTTTGGCTAAACAGGAAAGAAGTATAGACGCGTTCATCTGGAACACTTGTAAAGTCTACCGAAGACCAAGACAACATGTACAACTTCGCTGCGGCGAGCTAGGGGTTTCTACGCCTGAATCCCCTGAAACTGAAAGTTTGAACTGCAGCTGTGAAAGGCGCCCTGATTCAGGAACATCCTAACAAGTTATCTGTAAAATCGCCGCGTCCATCTTTGTAGTCCAACAGTTGTTGTATAAAACGCGATTTCATTCTGGAAACGTAAACTCAATGTTTCAAGCTTTAGGTATGGCACCCCCTTTCGGTATCCATTCCATCCGGACGGGTGGCTTTTAGCACGAATCAACGTGTAGCTATGTTCGCACCTAGACCCATACCACCATACGACGTGTGCTAAAGATTAGCAGCCAAATACGTTACCTGCAGGAGATCCGATCTAGAACCCCCATTATCGCCAACTCGTCTATAATTAATTGCAGAGGCAAATTCAATATAAATTGCCCATAGATGGGTAAGTCTTAAAGCAGTTAAAACATCGTCTACGTCTAGTCTGACGGCGTCCCCGTCGAGCGGGAAAGAGGTGGATCTCCTTTCCATAGCGACTCTATTAGACTAACGGTTTTGTTGACGAACAAAGAACGTACACTTGGTGGAACAGACCGGGACTCTCTCTATTATTAGCCAGACTATTGTTCAACAACTCTACCTAACAAGAGTCGTTTCTTCCAGCAGCAATAACCGCTATTGAGGATAACAATAGAATAACAATTCTAGCATATGTCTATAACATTCAGTGTGTAAATACGTTGTCATACGATGGCCTTTGGTCATCAGATTCTTTCAACAATTTTGGTAACCGTTTTTAATTTCAGGTAAAGGTAAACTTGTATACAAACGTCATTAAGGTGACCAGCATGGTTACTGCAATCTTCATCGACAACTAAACACGTTTTGGGCATGATTACTTATTGACAAGTAAGTTAACCTCGGAGGTTGAAATCAACGTATAGCCATTGAAGATTCTGATGACTGAGGGTATTGTACGACGAAACTGTAGGCCATAGTATATGTACAAGCAAAATTAGGGTGCTACGTATAAATATGTAATTGGTGACCAATGAAAACGTAACTAATATAATAGTAATTCAGTTACTTACATGTGCATATGTGTTACGTTCAGTTTATATACGTGAGCAAGCGACTTGGGTTTGTTAAGACAATGCAAAGACGAGTTCCTGCTTGCGTTTTTCTTTGTTGCCTATGTGTACGCTATGGCTACAGTATTTAATAGAGTGTGTTTTTCGTGGAGGTTCTAGGACTCTGTTAAGGCGACATTTTATACCTATCTTTGTCAGAGCCGAAATAACGTAATCGTTTTTTAATAGATCCAACGGTACAAAATACCATATCGATCTAGATATACGCAAGTATAACGACACTGCTTTGAACTTCATTTAATTTTTCAACTTTACTGCTGTTACTAACAGCTCGTATGGTGATGTACATTTTTTTTATCACTTGTTTAATTTAAATAACTAATTTCTTATAATGTGGGATTGTATGCTCGCAAAGTAGTTCACCCGGTGAGACTGGAAACAAAGCTTTTGCGTACACACCTATTGGAACCAGGTAATCCTTGAGAGCTCCGATATAAGAGGATTCATATCAGCTGTAAAGGCTTTAAAAATTATACTTTTCTCCATTATAGCTCTGCAGAATTTTTGTATTTATTCGATTTCCCCATTAGGCTAAAGCTCCAAAAGACTACCACAATAATCAGTTCAGCTTAAAGTGAGTTTATGACGTCTAACCGCGTTCTTTGCTTCTGATATCCTGTTAATCGTTATAGATGGTTTGTAAGACAGCGAGCGTGTTGCGTGTTTTGTGATCGGAGTAAGCCTGTCTACTGGCCTTCCGGCTGACCTATTCATGATTGACCTAGAACCGGTGGCCGACAACCGATGTCTGGACAGACCCTGGCAACGGCCTTTTTGATCCGACCTAGTTACACGACATTATTTTGAGTTACATTAACACCGTTAAGTGCTAAAGAGAATCTTTCAAGGCTCACTTTAGTCATAAAGTCACTTGCCTTACGGCTGTAACAGAAGAGCTTGCCGGTTTTTCCGGTATGGTCTGCCGGACGCAGTGATTCCATAGAGCGAAGAGACGGTAAAGCATACTCTGGCGTTTTTATTTTAAGAGGATTATCTGTTAGCGTACTTGCGTTTTGGATTTTCCATACCAGCACGGCTAAAGCGAGAGATCATGCGGCAAATACTTAAGCAGACGTCAAAGAACTTCGAGGTAAAACGGGCGCAGTTTCGGTTTTAAGTTCTGTTAAGGAACCGCTACTCGCTAACTCATCAGAGTAGTGAATTGCTATTATTAACTCATCTTATCATTTCTAACAGCGATGATGTTACGAGCTTGGGGAAGCTCTGATATAAAGTATGCATACAATTATTGTAAACAAGGGTTTCGAGCTGGGAAGAGTGATACTTATTGACAAAGAACCTTTCTTTATTTTTTTTTAGATTTTTTTCATTGAAGTTTATGCTGTTATACATTTATGTTTCGAATTTTATGGCCGGTATAGCCGTTAGGTATTCCACCAGAAGACTGGCTTTTAGCGCGAAACCAAATCTGTTTATGGCCGGGGTCGAACCTTGACCACAACGTGTTCCAGCTTGCAAAAGCGTGCCTTTCCGTTGTTAAATTCTGAGTTCTTTGAATTACCTGTAAAGGTAAACACCTTTCTTGGAAGTTTCAAGGCAAGGCAGATTCAGCAAGCCATACAGGCCCCTAACGCCATTGGCCCATATATATATGACAACAAGGCCGTTTATATACATATATATCTATGCTGCCAATCCTCGCCCAAGACTAGGATATCTAAAATGTCTAATTGTTGGGAATAATTTCAAAGATATAAACTTTCTGAACGATGTCTATAGCTCAGCAGCTATAATTCAGATAGACACGAAAAAGCCATAAGTACTTTGAGGAAAATTTGAATTTGTACATTGTCTTTAGGACATCGTTTACCAACGTCAAAGGTTCCACGTTTCCCGCACGCGCTATATTGAAACGCACTAAGGTTTTCGATTCCCACGAGAACAAATTGACATAACAGTGCTCTAGAATTATCCAATCCTCTATGTTTCACCTCAGACAAATTTTCAGTGCCGTAAACCTACCTTTTTAGCAAACTTGACGGAAAATACAGGTTATTCGCAGTACGTATGAATGTCAAACCCCCGATACCTATGTAGTTCGGGCCTGCTCGCTGTAGATTTCGGTTTTTATATCACTATGTATCACATTATCCTTCCTACGGGTTTTGTGTTTGTCGAAATACGCTAACTTCCCTATTAACTTGTTGCAATAATAACAACAACAACGAATCGGCAACACGAACGAAGCACAGGATCACGCACATACACGCTAACACACACACACACACACGGATTCTCTTCACTTTCCCACACGGGTTAAGTTACTTTCACATATGAAAACAGCAGGAAAGATAATTGGTAGATAGCAGTATAACGATATTGATTGCAGATAATGACTTCCGAGTAAAATAAATGTTTACTTGAGCTGCCTATGGGAACCACGGTTTATGATAGGCAAAGACTCACGCAGGATCAAAAAGTATGACAACTATCAAGATGATCCACGACTATTTGACATGGTTCATCTGTTATCGACGGCCGTTGAGGATAACCAAGCACACGGGTCGGGTTGCTTGCCGTTTGTCCCGAAACGTGTTGTTGGAACGTTCACCAGCACGAAATGAGTTGAGTGGCGAAAATCAGCAAAAATATTTTCCTGCTACGACGTGATCTTTTGTTTTCCTCGTCCTCTTCCGTGTCGCCTTTTCTTGCGCGAGTTCGTCCATTGATCGTACGTCTGAAAGCATACCGCGTTCATGCAGGGGTACACGATTTACCTCACTGGTAATAATCAGCGTATGGAACTACATGCGATGCGTTACGTTCGATTCATTTGGTCAAATCTGCTTCGTCGCTTGCGGTATTATTCATCAATGTTTTTGTCGCTTGAAACTGCCACTGCCGCTGCCGCTGCCGCTGCCACTGATGTCGCCTGCAGGAACGGTAGTGGTGACTTCTTGAAAGGAAATATCGCAGTTATAGATTGACACCATCGACAGACAGGTGTTGAACGCGTTCTTACTTAGAACCCCTTTTCCTCCTTTCCATTTTGGTGCTTAGCGTCAGATGTGCGTTGCACGCTGTGTTCAGGTGGCGTCGTTCTCGTTTAAATCCAACTCGAAGCAGATATCAGATGACGCGTGAGATAAAATCGGTAGAAAAAAACGATGCCTTTCGCAGAAACGGTCCGGCTCTGAAAACGATCACGATGGTGGTGCTGAGGAGGATGATGATGGTGATGACCTGCTGTTACGAATCGGCTAGAAATCGGTGCTTCGGCCCTCGCCACTCTCGGTGGCATAACTGATGTCATTTCATCACATTCATGGCGTCACCCGATGCAGAACTAAACACAGTTATAATTATCTAGACATAGTGGTGGAGACGACGTACGACCTTGTCGAAACAAGCATAATCCACCACAAATAGGATCACAGCAATGCTGCCCTTACGAAGGATTCTAGATGGCAGTGTAATACTCATGGCGATTACCTATTTTGTATAGGTCAGCCTTATTTCGTATCTGCTATCAAGGTAACTGACTATGGCGATGCATAACTTTGTTAAATGTCTTTTATTGCGATAGCATGTCCTGAGCAGGGTTGGGGCACATCAACCGCTGCGACGTTCAGGGGACCCTGCGACAGAAACCCTATTGTTAAATTTGGCCGGAATATACTTGATTTGCGCCGAGTTCTCGTGTGCGCGTTTTGCTAGCTAGCGAGCACTGTCGCTATTGTCGATGCTGTTTTGCAACAAGCAGAAAATACACTCTTTTCTGTTAATTCGGTTTCGTTCGAGTTATTCTGTTCAGATTTGTTGCTATAGCCACAATTTCCGTCGCCACTGCACTGACTCCTGTCGCTGTAATCAACCGCTCATCGTTCGATGTTTCGCGCACCTCGACGACTACAGGCGCAGTCGTTACTGCCACAGTGATCTGGGAGAATATACCGAGTGAGTGAGCGAGCGACGGACGGACGGCCGGTCGGCCGGCCGGTCGGACGGACGGACGAGTGGATAAAGGAGCGCCTCGATGTGGTGGCTGCCGGTAGCTCTCGGCAGCAGCGGCGACAGCTGTTGCCTTTAAACAAAACCCAGCCGCCACAACGTCGGAAAGCCGGACCTGCTATCGGAGCACCTACCAGCGGAGCACGGGTACTGCCGTGGCTACGGTGCGCCGACGAGACGAGCGCGACGTGATGATCGTTTTCTCATCAAACGCTCGCTGCCCCTCTGGCAGGAGGCAAGCTGGCTGGCTGGCTGGCTGGCTGGCTAACCGTTGACGGCAAGCATTGTAAGTAGTCGTCGTAGTAGCGATCGTGGTAGCAGAAGCACTAGTAGCGTAACTCATCGCGAACAGTCAGGCAAAAAGGTGACAGATACAGCACAGCAGGCGGCGGGCGCCTTTTCAGTTCTCTACAGATGGTCCCGGGTAGTGACTTGGACGGAATCCATTCGCTCCAACGATGTCGCAGTTGCCGTCGCCACCGCTATCATTAGCGCTGTTCGCCATAGCTGTTTCTACGTAGAGGGAAGTTGAAGAGCGCGAGCAACGACGGCGGGGCCGCCGATGAAGCCAACACTTCGGCTTGAGCAGATCTGCGAACATCGGATACGATACACGTAGAGGCGGCAGCGGATTTTTACGTCGCTTAGAGAAAAGTCACTAACTGTTTACTGCAAAATCATACGTGTTGCCAGAAACAACCAACCTTATTGCTGCACCATTCGGACGACGACAACGACGCCGGTCGTAGCGGCGAAAAGTACCAATCGTTGGATAAAAGCCATTGGCAAACATTTGCTTTCGTCTCACTCATTTTTTTCTATTCCGTTGATTCGCGATCATTGTCGACTACGTAACAACGATGAGCAAAGCAGAATATACGAGCTGGGGCCGTCGAGGCTGCCGACGGCAGTGTTGCCGTTAAATGCGCGCTTCGTCAAACGGCAACGGAACTTGCTGTCAGTAGCAGGATGACCACAAAATTGTGAATATTATTATTGTTAATGTTTACTATTGGGTAACAAAGAACAGGAACGAACGACGGACGGTTTCGCTTTGTTGTGACTGAAAAAGCACGTGGAAGCGACAGTGTTAAATGGCCCGTTACAATAGAGTCGAGTTGAGCTCGTAGATAGATAAAAACAATTAATTGAAGTTGAAAAACGTTGTGCACTCCAGTGATACGTTTGACTTAATTGTTGTACTATACGCACATGTTTTAAGCATGTGTTTACATATATGTATAAATTACGATTACCATATGATATATAAATGCCGCGTAGCTTTAGGCAATTGTTTAACGACCGGCTATGATCAGCGCCAGTGGTCACGTTTCTTTTTTTGTCGCCAATTGCTTTTCATTAAGCTAAACCAGTGCCTTTGATCAGGATGATGATGACATTCGATCAGCAGTAGTGCATTATAGACCAGCATCGATCTGAGACCGTCATCGTCACACCACTCGCCGGCTTTCTGGAGTCGTCCAACAATGAACGTTTTTAAGCACACTCTACACGCATTTGGAACGTGCCTATATATATATATATATATATATATATATATATATATATATATATATATATATGCGCAAATGTGACACCAGTGTTAGACATAGATGAGAAAGCTTTCAACCTACGTACGTCTGTCTTGCTTCTTCCTCGCCGACCCAAAAACGAACGTTTTAGAGAGAGCGAGTTTCGCGATGACCAAGTCGTACGATGTTGACACAGGTATCAAAGAATCAGATCTACTGGCCAGTGCAGCAGCAATATAGGGCCAACATGTGACTGATCCGCGTCGCAGAGCCGCAAGGTCTTGATCCTCTCTTCTCAACGTCATAACTTAAGGGCTTAAGGATAATTGCCGACAACGACGGCACCAACCATACGTATTACAGCATCAACGGTATCTCTGTAGACACGGATATTTTGAGCGTATAAGTACCTGCGTGTATCTGCTATGTGGCTTTGAATATTTTTTAGCTCCTCATGCCCACTTAGTTGACTACTGTTGCTTGACCACATATTGACTCCTCACTGACGGTTCCCTCATAGATGCCAGCAGTTCCCCCTACTATATAGTGATAGGCACAGTCGCCGCCCGGTTGTTTTGCCTGCGTCCTACCGCCTTATCAGCACTGGCAGTGAAGAAACAGGTCTCGTGGTGTCTGCGCGCTCCTTTACTCGTTCTCGTCCAGTACAGTAAGTCCAATACTGCGTATAGATGAATCATTTACGACCGTATGACAAATGTGCGATAGCAGATTACTGCTATGGGAGACACAGCAGGACAAGCAGCGCTCGCGGTCGTCAGTGTCGATTGTCATCGTTGGATTTGGAAACTGCGCCGGTAACACACAAACGCAGCGATGACGAGTCGCTGTTGCTGCTGACGACGTCAACACTAGGAGATATACCCACAAACGGGCACACAAAGCTGCCCAGGAAACTAAGTGAGCGTGCCGCTAAATAGTGGAGGAGTATGAACAGCGTTTGCTATGAATGAGCTCCGTCGAGTCCGTCCATACGCCACATCAAGCGAAAACTGTGATCATTGTAATAGCACGTTCCATTGTCAGCCGGGTGGTAGCGCTGATAAAACAGGCCGACCGCTATAAACGTAACGGCGGAAGTCTAAGCAGTATCGAACGGAAGTAAAAGCAGCCTGTAAGGTGGATATTTGAGGAGTCCAGCTGATATGAATGTCCTGCTGCCTTCTCGGCTGACGGTGCTACAGCTTCAAATGTTTGAGAGACAACAGACGGCGGTAATCACTACCGCGTTAATTTCACAAACACAAGCACGTTTGATACACAGTTGCTGTTGTTCTACTTTGTTCTGTTTTATTGATGTTAGTTTTTTTTTTGCTTTGTCCCAAACTCTCTATTTTACTATGAACGTTTTCGAGCGCGCTGGTTCGAAAGACAGAGAGAAAGAAACTACTTATTTGACTGATACTCCCGTCTCTTACTACTCGCACAGGGCATGATGGATTGGCCACGTGCATTACATCCTGCCAGAACTACTGAGAGATACAGAGACATTGTGGCGCGCGAGATGCTAACCTCCTCACTTTTAGGCGGCAAATGGCGCTCTTCTTTGGGCAAACGGCTATCGCTCTTTACTTGACGTAGGCAGGCTTTTGACACGACGTGACGTTAGACGACGTTAACGAGATTAATTGAGAGCCCCATCTACGAGTGTGTGCGCCAACATCTATAGACTAAAATCGAGGTTTGGGAACGCGCTGTCGCATAGATGGCGTGTCCGCTGGTGCGCACATAGCTACTCACCAATCCGGCTTGTTTAGACAGAAACCGGAAAAAAAAACACCAGTTTACGGACACGATTGTACCGATTGAACACATCCATGTGCGTAGAAAGAGAAGAAGACTGCAGCGGGGGCAACGACCATTGGCACTGTCACTCCTTCGCCTACCCAACGAGAACCGCGTTGGGGTCCAGAAATCAGGAGCAGGCACGCTGGGCGGTTAGGGGCGCGCATGGGAACGGAAAGGCGCAGGCTAACCTTGTGTTTTAGACAGGGAAGGCGGAGTAACGCTAAGCCACAGGGTCGGATGTGGGGCAGCTGTAGTTCGAGCTATTCTGGATAGGCAAACGCTATTTAACTAAAATGATTGGGACGAGAGAAGGAAGGAGCTACATGGGAAAGGAGTGGGCAAGGGAATTCTGGGAGAGGGCTGAAAGGTTGGGGACCACAGAAGAGCACGTTAATGGGGTTTGCCTCGGCCAAAATACGACGGCATGAACGAACGCGACGGTGGCTCCACCTGCCGACTCCGCAGCTCAACGTTGCACATCCACGTATAAAGGAATCCTTTTTAGATATTCAAGTCGTACATGCTTAATTTTTGCACTGACACCCAACGAGAGACGGCCACAGACTATACGTTTATAGACGCAACATGATAGCACCAAGCCATGGCTTAAACCGCTCCGCGTGTCTTACCCCCTCCATTGCCACAGTTCGAAAATAGCAGGCCTCTAGTAAACTTCGGAAAAAAGAAGAGGTTAACGAACGACCTTTACTCCGAGGCCACGGATACTGACCTGGGTGAGTGAGTGAGCGGGCAGAAGCTGACGGACATCGACTTAGTGGACGGCTAACATGTAGGTCTCCTTAAGTGTATCTAAAAATTGCGGTAATCATTCTTACTGATACTAGCTCTACTGGTAAGTATTTTGAAGCTAGATGATCATACGCATTTATTATAGAAATGAGCGACTATAAAATTAAAGGCTCAAAGTCTGATCATTCTCACTTCTGTTATAGTATTTGTACAGATGAATTTGACGAATGTCGTTGATCGTCATCTTTAATTTTCTTAAACTATATCAAGAATACATAGTGGTTTGTAAGCGTAAACATCAATAAGAAATATTAATCTACGTTGCAGGTAAACAAAGTAGATATACCCGCATGTGCCTTGGATTACTCCAGCATCATTGAGCCCTAGAAGCGTTTTTATCTTAAAATGGGACTGATGTTTAAAAATAGTAAATAAAGTATTATCTTGTACTTCTACTTTAATTCCTCATCTTCAGGATGGCCATGATAATAATGAAATGTGTTGGCACCAAAGATCCGAACGAGCCTTTTCTTGTTCATTTGCTCTTATCTAAAAGCTATTCTACTAGTTTCTAGTCGTTTTATTAATCCCTAAGCAAAGTAGTTAATTAACAAGGCCTTTAATGCCGAATGTTTAATTCAATTCGATGCCCACTTACCAGTATCTAAACTAAGCAACGCTAGAACAATGCAAACGTGCCAATCCCAGTCAAAAAGATCTGCAGTTCCAGAATATTCCATCAAGAGAGAACCTTCCAACTACTATAGGTAGGACAAAATGAATTTTTGCATTTTGAACATTCAAAAATAAAAAAATAACTAAGTATGAAGTTTAGCCAACGGTGCGCAGCTCTATTTTCAACTATCTTTTCAAGCATTTGATTCACTGCAGTGATTCGAAATCGTTTGTTCTTTACACCCGATGTATTTGGAACATCTTA